GGAAAGTGTCTTTTGCACACTGCAAAACAGGTTTCCAGTGGACCACAGAGCCTGGCCCTAAGTGACGTGGGGTTCCCTCTGAGAAGAACAGAGGTTTCCCTGTCGATGCAGGAAGGCTCAAGTAACTCTGTCTCCTCCACTGCTCTGAATTATGATGGCTACTACTAACTCCAATTGATTATTCTGGCAGCTGAGGCTTGGGAAATCCCAGGGAAGCTTTGGTCCCACCTTTCAAGAGCAGCTGGGAGCAAGACACAGCATAGAAGTCACTACGCTGGCTCTGCACCTCCTGGTGTAGACACTGGCAGAATCTGCCCACAGTTGGCCACCCTAGCTCTAGGTAAATTTGTACTAGCAAAACATGAGCCTGAAACCTTTTTTAGAAACCTAGAGGGCACATCTACGCTGCAAATGTACTGTGCCAGGCAGCAACCTTCTCAGAGACCTGCTGCCCTCCATGCACTACCTCCTGTATCAGAAGCTGCACAGCAATGTTACAGGTCTTAAAATACAGCCTTTCATTGTACAATGTGAGACTGCAGTGTTTTTGTGGCAATAGTTCTGTAGCATTGCAGGCAGCTTAATTAGCCAGGACCTGCTTCCATTTCAGGAGTCTCATGCTCAGTGGTGGGTGCCTGGCCCCTCTGCCCGTGCCATTGCCTGTTCCTGTTTAGACGTGCTTTAGATCTTAAATGTGAAGTGACCAGAACAGTCTGAGGACACTGTCAGTTTATTGTACCTCTGTCCTCTCCTGGTCTCTCCAAGCATGAGCCCAGAGATATTGAGTCTCCAGCCACCATGAGACTCTCGGGTGGGGGAAGTCATATGATTCTCCCACTCTCTTGGCCAGACCTGCAATCTCCTGTGTATCATACGTGATCTACATCAGCAGGTCTAACTTATGCCCCGAGTCTCCAATTCTGTTACCTCTGGAGCAATGATAGTGGTAATCAGCAAGGAAACCACATCCTTTAAAGAAAAATATGACTTCTCAAACATTACAGAGAAAAAATATTTTACGAACAATAAAGGACATATGCATGTCTAGTTTATCATGTCTTTAATCACCTTCTACATGGAGACCGTGGCAGAATTAGCTTCCTTTAGATTCTCCTGCTACACCTTTCCAAGTCAGCTTCTCTCCGTCAACAATTCCCAGGAAGGTCCTTGGTTACTCACCCACCTCCACAGGAATCAGGTCACTATTTAACTGTTTATAGCCCATTGATCTGTTAACTGGCCAAAAATACCCCAAGGTTTGAAACTGAATGAGGCCAGGATCCTTGAAGTTAACAGCTGGGATCATTTTCAATGTCTTTCAAGTGTGTGTGTCTTTGTTCACGCTGAGAAGCTTTTGCTTCTCCTTCATGCCCAGACCCCATTGATTTTGAGCATTACAGATGTGTCACAAACCTTCTATTTCTTCCTTTGCAAGTTAGATTAATACAGTTAGAGGAAATTCCAATTGCCCAACATGCAACAACTTCTCATCAGTCACCCAGACTGTTCATAAAATTGTTACATTTCAGTACTCATAATATTAGCATTGATGATTAGCTGCATGTCTGTCACAGCAAGCTTGGCAAGATGGCAGGAGCGGAGATCAGCTGTAAACTGAAATGGGAGACTCTTGAAGGGCAGCTTGACCAAGAAAACTATTCCAGGCATAGGGGCCAATACAGGGATGAATGCATGAAGCTGGCAGGGGACTGAGAAGTAAGGAAGCCCAATAAGTTGGCAGAACAGCCATGACTCATGACTGGAGGGGACTGTGTCTTATGAGAGGTAGAAGGAACATACAATGCAGGTCCTCAACATTTACATGTACGCGGTACCATTTTTTGTATATTCCTCCCACATGGGATTTGCTACAATGTCCCTTCTAGGAGATACTGCAAGTATTTCAGCCCAAAAAGATTCCCGTAGACATGCTTGGGAAGATCAAGTGCCTGACTGACCGGAGCCAGTGTCCACTTCTGTACTTTCCAGACAGATTACTTTCACTATAAAAAAAGAGGTAGCTAGGCCCTGAAGGGCACCTGACCTGTTGGGAAAACAGAGAAAAACAGTTCTCCTTGGCAGCTGGCCATAAGATGTGGCAGAAAAAATGAAAGCATGGAAGGCATGGCCTTAGATATGCCCCCTTTAACTTCTGCAACTTGCCTTCTCTAAATTGCATTAGCCCAGCACTCTGCACATCATTTCTAGCTAAGGGAAGTTTCACTGTTCACCTTTATTTTTACTTTCTCTCTCTCCCTCTTTCTCTCCCTCACATACACACAACTCATTCCTTCTTGAATGTATGCTGCATAAGCGCACTTACAATTTCGATTCGATTGTTGGTACTGAGGGAAACAACAGCTCACTGACGTGCAAGATGAGAAAGGCTCCACCCTTGCAGGAAGAGAAGAAACCAAGTGGTGGTTAAGTGACTCACGGATACCTACGATCGTCGAAACAACTGCAGGCTGCTGTTCCAACCAAGAAAGGGAAAAGGGGGTTGGTGCTGGAGCAGAAAAAGTCTCCAGATGTCAGGCACACTGAGATTATTGCAGAAGAAATGAAGATTTTAAGATTGCAACTTTCTACGTGCTTTGGGAACAATAAATAAAGGGCGAGGAGCAACAGCAGGCACTTCTTAGGAAGAACAAATTTGAGCTGAGGCTGGAGTAGCCCAGTTCCTATGGGACCGTGTAAATCCTGCACTGCCAATTAGTTACCTTTTTCCAGGGACGGAGTAGCAGCAGACCAGCCTGTTTCAAGAGCTGAAAACTGCCATTGACAAAAACTACCCAAACACTGGCTAATGGGATCATTTAGATGTTAGTTATGCTAAAAGAAGGGAGGGGCCATTCTTGCCACCTCCTATCCTCCAGCAGTCTTTTATGGGTAAGTTATACAGGTCTTAAAATACAACATTTCATTTGTACAATGTGAGACTGCTATTACCATTACTGCTTGTTCAAATGCAATTACAGGTTTCACTCGCCAACCACAGTTTTCGGTATCCACGCTTAATATTCTAGATACCATTTTGGTGACTACAGTATGCAGTTTTGACTAACAATGGTTTTCCAGCGCTGCGCATCAGCCCGCCACCTGTCATTTTTCCCATAAGCTTTTTTTTTCTTGCCAGCCATGGTTTTGCCAACCACAGGAAATTTCAGGAACCTAAGCCCAGTGGTTGGCGAGGGAAACCTGTAGTTCTCACACATTTTTGAGTGATAGGAAGCATCATTCAGACTTTACTGGCATAGAAGAGAAAGTAGAGGGGCATTAAGGTTATGTCCACACCATGCTGTACCCACAGTCCTACTATGAAACATGCCCTGCCCACAAACGAAGCACTACAGCCACCTGAGGGCAGCCCTGTAAGTACCCCAATACCGCTCCTGGGTTCTGGTCCCAGCAGTGTTTGCTGGCACAGCGGCAGGGTCACTCTCCAGCAGTTATATTGCCTCACGTCTGGAATCTGGCACGTGCAGAGCTGGAGCAAGTGAATGGTGAGTGCTTCACGGTGGCATTTCTAGGCATGAATTGGAGGGTACTGAGATGCTCTATGTCCCTTGCCCATAGATGCAAAGCAAATCAGTAGCAGAGCTCAAGCTAACAACCATCATGAAATCCTGGCTCCCAGTCCTGTGCTCAGATCACTACATCATACTGTTTCGCCTGTTAGTGTTGCTAACAGCATAGCTGAAATACTTCTAGAAAATGATTCACCCTTTCATTTCTAAAGTGACAGCAGCTGTTGATAACATACATGCATGGAAACACATTTACAAAATACAAATGGCTCAGAAGAATAAACCTAACTGCTGAAAGTGCTGAAGCGTGTTATTTACACAAGCACTGTAGAAATATAAGTCCAATAGATAACACTGGAACATACAAAAACATCATTTATTTGTTAAACTTCATGAACATTATTTAGATTTAAAAATAAAACCTGACAGCATTATTTAGATTTATTAAACTCTTAAGTGGGGAAATTAGCCATAAAATACTTTAAATCAGAGTGCTGTAAAATATCATTAAAAATGCATATACATGTAGCGGGTTATTTACTAAACAGATATCACCCACCTAAAGAAGCGGTAACTGTACTCGGTTATATTTGACTATGCCTTCATTCCAGTACTAACCTCTCTCAAAACTGCTCCTAAAAGTATTTACTGAAGTTATGGTTCTCACATTCACAGATCAACGTTTTACTTTCTGATGAATCCCTGACGTAAAAATAAATCTAATGATGATGGTTTTTATAACAGCCTTGTTGATTTCCTGCAAAGCATCCTTGTGTTTAAAATCAGTCAACAGAAATAAGAAAGAAAAAACATCAGCTCCTTGTACCCCACGTTAGCTGGAAGAGCATCTCATTATAGCACTGAGTTGAGTTATCCAAAGGGTCAAGATTTATTTAGTCTTAATCTTCATTTGTGCAGTCTAGAAAAAGAAGTGGGTTTCTACATGAAGAAACATCCAATGTATTTACCTTTCCAGCAGGATCTTGTGATAGTATCTTGGGTTCAGCTGCACAATTTGCTCCTTTCTCCTGCAAAGCAGGGTAGCTTGTAGCAGCCAATCCTTCAGGCTGTTCTGAAAGCTTAATTGCAGTCTGCATTTGCTTTCCTAATTCCTCTATTAGTTTTCCAGGAACAGATGTAGATTGTAAAGGAGCCTTTGATTTTTCATTACTAAGATCTAGCGTCAAAGTGTTTGTCTCTCGCCTTAATCCATTACAGTCAATAAGTGGGGCTGTCCTCTTCTCTTGGAGTGTGCCTTGTAAAGAATTTATTTTCCCATCTTCACTGGTTGAGGACTCTTGTTCATCTGAATCAGAGCCTTCTGTCTCAGATGATGAAGTGCTGCTTGATTCTTCAGAGTCACTTGTCTCTAACTCAGAGGAAGGCAGCTGTTGCTTGGAAACTGCACCGGCAGCTTTTAACTCACTTTCTTCCTCCTGTACTAGAACTGCTGCTGTTTCCAGCTCTTCTAGCTCAAATCCTAGGTGAGCTTTAGTAATTTTGGCTTGCTGCAAAGATTCACCAAGTGCTGCCAACTTTTTGGACCTTAAAGAAAGGACAAAATGTACTGTTAAAATATAGAAACAAAATATCTGTTATTTGCTAACAACTGCCATGGAGTTAACCATGCGCACTATTTATTTGGTTTGTAAACAATTTTCTTTTTCAGGTTGCTATGGAAAAAGCACATCCCTTGTATTTTAGGCTGGCTCACTGCCACAAAGGTTTATACAAGCAGCTAATTATATCAGTTTACCTCAGCAAACTTAGTGGCTTTCTTCCAGAAGAAGGTACTTTATTCCCTAAAAGTTTTGGCAAGGCACTGAAATGGGAATCAACTGTGCTTAAAATGATGAAACCACCTAGTTCCTAGGAGAGACATCTCTCTTCAGTGTTGAATTACAGCAGCACCGGCTGAACCAAAGGGCAGCTTGGTTAGGCATGAATCCAGGAAGAGCAAAGGCACTCTGGTTTGCCATGCTCCAACGTAGCTCCTTAGACACAGAAAATCTTTTCAAGGTGTTATCTAAATTCAATACATTTGCAATACAGCTGATCAGCTTTTTTGACTGGGGTACTATTTACTATTCTAAGCTTTTATTTCCCTCCGTCCAATTAATTCTCCTTTGTTACCAGACAGTTTCCAAATTATTTTAACAATCTGTATTGGTTACATTTTGACCAACCCCCGCCGTCTCCTACTACATTCTTATTTTAATAGACGCAAATGATGGTACATCAACGTACCTCCTAAGTAAGCAAGCACCTCTGTGATACAAACATTACCAAACTTAGGAAACCCAGTTCTGAGTTTGTTTTTATTCAGTTACATGAGGTATGTTCTTTAGACAATAAATGTATTCAATTGACAACAAAAGAAAGATGCTTAGAGAACTGGAAATTTTCAAAATGAACACACAACAGACCAAAATCAAAATGAATTCAGGACACAATTTTCATGCTTATCAGAAAGCTACCAGATTTCTATAATGAGTAACTCTTCCATATGAGGCTCTTCCCCAGTGCGCTCATCTACACAAGACGCTTAAGGAGCAGAAGACAAATTCTACCGCGCATTAGCTCAGCTAGCAAAAACCACACTAACGTGCAGTAGACAGTCTAATGTGCATTAACATCATGTAAAAAGTGTTTATCTGGGCTAACGTGCAGTAGCACCGATTACAGCACATTGAAATGAGTACCTGTTATTACAGGTCCTAATCTTAATGTATCCTAATTATGGCACATTAATGTACATGTAGATGCACCCATTCCAAATCCACTTCCCTCATCCCTTTCCAACCTCTATACCCCTAAATGACCACTGTCATCTACAACCACCCTCCAAACCACTCTGCTCCTTCCCCTGATTTTAAACGCTTCTTTAAGGCATACTTTTAAAAACTGGATACCCCTTTTTTCCATCCTTAATGATCCTAATACCCTCCTTTTGCTGAAATTCTGATTCATGCCAAGAATTTAAAAAATCCTGCTGCAATAATAAGGTTAATTTATATTTTTATTACTATATGTTAAAAATGTATTCTTCAGGAAAAAATACTTGTCTATTCAAGTCTTGTTCTGAATGACACGTTTAAATTAAACAATTCTTTTAGATACAAAATAGTTCATTATACTTGTTAAAAAGACAGCACTGGAAAAGGGGTAGATTTAAAAGGCAATTCACTGACTCACACCAACGAGTCTCCAAAGCTGATCTCTCCTGAAACACAAAGTTCAAAGAAAATAAGCTGAAACCAGGCAACTTATTATGGCTCTATTTCATAGGCACACTCCTTCCCCGCTCATAACAGGACTGCTGCACCTGCTGTACAATGAGCTGCAGAATAAATCAGTGGTGGATTCTGTATGCAAGTATTTAGTACTGTAGCTAAGAAACAAATGTCTGGACTCTTTAGCTAAGGGCAACTATGGAAGACAACAGATACGGGAGGTCAACTTCTAAGTTTAGCAACCTCCTTGAGTGCAGCCACAGCCATAAAAATACATGCTTTCCCAGACAATTGTGCCACATTTATAAAGGCAGAGAACAAAAAAGCACGAGTGCCTTGAAAATGTGGGGAAAAAAGAAAAACAGGTATAAATAGCAAACATACATCCTGTTTCTTGCTGTAGAGTTTTGCCTCAGACTATCAATCAACTTTTCACCACTTCCTGCAACAGCAGGTCTACTATAAATCCTGCAGTAACTGACTGGGTTTCATTTCCTCTGCCAAAACCTGCTAACCTGCAAGGCATGACACACTGACACTGGAGCAAGCAGCTGATAATGTAATACATGACTCCTGCGAGGCAAAAGTTAAAGTGCTTGTTCTCTCAGCTGAATGATTTTAAAGATCTTTATATTCTACTTCCCAGGGGGGATAATTACTCAGTATAACACAGACTGTGCAATTTTTTTCTTCTCCTAAAGGAATTGTATTTAAAAGGTGGGGGAAGGGGAACTTAATGCAGTTTCTTACGCATTTTTACAGAGAAAGTGCAGCACTTAAACGCAAAGCTTGAACCGAACAGGGCTTGTTGGTTAACTTCCTCAGTTCAACTGAAAGAGAAGAAAACTGAAATAACGGTGTTTATAAAGAATAGTGGAAGATCTATAAAAGTTTTTAAAAAAACCCCAAAACCCTGAGCATAAGTATTGAACCAGACTTATCTGTGAGCCCCTGATGCAAATACACAATGCCACTCTGTTTAAATTATTCAGTAAGCTAACTTTACTTCACTAAGTAATCCCAGAGCGGTTTATTCATAAGACTTCCCACCCAATCATCTTCATCTGGATTTTCCTCAAAAACAAGAAGTTGCAGGGGTACTTAGGGATTGCCAGCCAGGATCAGCTTTGGGGGTCGCCTGCCCTGTCTCTGCCAGCGATAACGGCTAATTGCTTCAAAAGAAAGTGGAAGGTTGGAGTAGAGGTACGTGCCCTAAAGGAAAATGTTTCCTAACTCCACTAATGAGCGTTTGGCTTATGCCTCGGGCCACATGGGTTTATATAATTTCCGCTGTTCATTTTTTAATCTTTACTTTTTAATTCCACTGCTTTTGTTAACAGTGCAGACCTTTTTAAAAATCCTGAGCTCAGTCATATTTTGTGGCAATGAGTTCCCTTGGCAAAACGCATGCTGTGTAGTGTTCCTTTATCATTTAACAAATTGCCATCTTTTGGTTTTTACTGAACACTGAGACTGCCCGTAGGAGAAGTGTTCTCCTCTCACCTTCAGCTCCAGCCAGAAGCCGCTCCCTTCCTCTTTCACTCCAGACCCTTTTCTTCTCAGCTAAAAGGCTCTATTATAACACCTCCCCCTACACAGGTTTGCTCCCCTTCTCCCTTCCTTCTTCTCTCTTTTTTCATTCATAACCCTTTGCTGGAAAGTGCTTCCCCCAATATAGCCCCTTAAAAAAAACCTTATTCCAAAAAATTTAGTCTTCTCACCTCTTCTGCAACTTCCAAAATAGTCTCTCCTCCTCTCTCAAGGCATGTATACTAGTAGCACTTATGAGATAGAAATATGTCTGTAAAGTGCCAGGCAAATTTACAGAATTAAATCATTTTTGACTAAAAATATACAATTATCTGTGGCCTTGAGTATCGATAGTCCAGACTTCAGGAAGAAAATATGCAGCAATACACTCTTTTGGCTCCTCCACGTCTATATTCTGCTACTTAACAAAAATGTAGTATGTATGGCTATATTACTACACTAGCAATATAAAGAAAGGGATGCAATCTCTGAAGAAGCAACTCCTTGTTCTTTCAGTATTGACACAACATATTAAACAGGGAATCCAGAGGAAATGGCTGAATGAGTAGATGTCTGAGAGAAGCAGGTCATAAGGGAGCTAACAAACGCTCGTACTACTGGAAGTGTATGAGACAGCACTACAGAGCAGCCTCAATCTCGAAACGCCTTGGTTTAAATCTTATGCGCTGATCTAATTAGACTGGAACATAACGGTCTTCACTGATCTCATAATAAAACCACAGCCAAAAGATCTGTATCTCTCTCTTTATGCTGGAAGAGTCACCAAAGTTGCTGAGAAAGGACAGATTCTTCACCTTAAACAAGGAAAGGAGATAGAAAAAAAGTCACAAACAAAATTAGCTACTTCCTAGCAAGACGCATAAAGCAATTGTGAGCGCTCTAAGTGGATTAGCAAGGGCTCTTAGAGCCAACCGTTCCATCTGTCCTCCTAAACTCTGCAGTTGCTGGACTCGTTCATGTTCAAGGAACCTGGGGAGTTGCGCAACTGTCTACAGTACAAATAGGTGCCTAGCTCCTGAGCTGTCGTACAAGTTCTTGGCAAGCTCAGAAGAAGCTGTGGGGTTGGAGGTGCAGGTTTTAGGCCAGGGGAATTCTGTTGGTTCCACTGATACTGGAGAGCATGGAAGCCTGCTCTAAGTTGCCTTAGATCGGGGTGGGCAAAATGCGGCCCACAGGCCAGATGTGGCCCGCCAGGCCATTCTATCCGGCCCGCGGGGCCCCTAAAAAATTTAGAAAATTAATATGTATCTGCTCCTGGCTGCCTGCCATGCGGCCCTCGATGGCTTGCCAAAACTCAGTAAGCGGCCCTCCGCCCGAAATAATTGCCCGCCCCTGCCTTAGATGCTGACAACCCAGGAAGGCTCTTTTGACCAAGCGGAGATTAAAAAAAGGTACAGGGCACTGTAGCCACATCTTCTGCCCAGCTGGATGAGGGGACAGTGCAGTGTTACTATATACAGGGGGATCTTGCATTAGCCCGTAATGCTGGCTTGTGGGTAGCTTTGCAGGCTTGGCTTAACAAACTTGAGGAACGGCTCCAAACCAGTCTTTCACTCCTGGATTGCATTCATTTCAGAACCGCACAGTCATTACATTGCAGCTTGTGTTGCTACTCAAAACCGAGGAAATCCAAAGCTAAGCGTGTCACCCTCGTCCTTTTCTGCAGTGCAAGCACAGCAGCTCACGAATTAGATGACAAGTGCAGGGTGGCAGCTTTACTGTAGAGTGGCCTGGAAAGGGAAGAAAATAGATTTGGGTCCC